CTCTTTTTCCTCCAACCACTCTCTCTTCTTGTTTCTTCTCTTTTTCCTCCAACCACTCTCTCTTCTTGTTTCTTTTCTTTTTCCTCCAACCACTCTTTCTTCTTGTTTCTTTTCTTTTTCCTCCAACAACTACTGTAATCTCTCTTCTTGTTTATTTTGCTGTTCGAGCTGCCACTGTTGCTGGTTTTCTTGCAACTCTGTTGTCTCTCTTCTTGTTTCTTTTCTTTTTCCTCCAACAACTGCTGTAATCTCTCTTCTTGTTTATTTTCTCGTTCTTCTTGTTTCTTTTGCTGCTCTTGTATTGCTGCCATCAAGTCTGCTAAGCTGTAGTTTGATTTGCCGCTTCTCGTTTCCATTTTTTTGTACCACTCTCTGACACCAATTTGTTACGTCTCCGTTCGTTAGTTAATTTTCCGTAAATTCGTTCCGACGAAACTTTAGCGACACAAGTCCTTTCTTAAATAAAACTGGTTTATTCCTTTTGAATATAACTTTGCTATACACTTAATTTCAACAGTCGCGCTATAACAAACGCTATAATTATCAACGAACGTCTCACGTGGTCGACTTCAACAATACTCAGTTCAATTACACATTCACTGACTGCAGTTCAATTACTCATTGTTCGTCACGTTGTGACCGTCTTATATATACCAGACTACCCCCAATCTAGTAGTCTCCCGATAATTCACGAAGGTTCGAGAAGGACGTGGCGTGATACTAGTCACGTGACCTCGCTGACGCAACAGTATCATAAAACTATGATGTTATGTTAAAGCTATAAACCAGTCATCTCTTTAAAATTGCTATATATTTTTGTTTTAGACACTGTTAATGACACAACCCAGTCACCATCTCTATCTTTTTCTAGTGCTGGCAATGAATGTGAAACTTGTGAGATTGACACTATTTGGTTATATACTTGTGGTGATGACATTGAAAATATCAACTTGGTTTACTTGAGTCTCAAACTACTTCAAGCACTGACACCTAAATTCTTTCTGGATCATCATCATTGCACTAGAGCAATCATGGATTCATCATGGCATTTTTGTATTCAATGAGCCATGCAATGACATTGGCAATTTATTGACACCAACAAAATCACTTGATGAAAAATGTCAAGCTATTAATAAGCTATTGAAAGTTGAAAAATATTCCTACCAAAAGTTTTTCCTTCCATCTTTTCTCATGGGTATAACTACAAGTTTAAAATAACTTGGCTTTAAAATTACCATGGTTATTATACAGTTCAAATTTTTTTGTGGTTCTTGTGTTACTCTTCTTCCAGCACACATATAGACGACATGATAAAGTAGTATTTGTCAACAAATCATTTAACAAGTGGGTAAAAATTAGTCATACTTTAAACA